TGTGTGTGTGTGTGTTTCGACCTGTGTTGGTAAGTTATAAATACTATTCCAAGGGCCGCAGCAAATTTCTCTGTGAGGAGATCAACATCTTAACTGCCTGATCTGATCTATCTCTTCTTATCGTATCTTATCTTGTCTTGTCTTGTCTTGTCTCACCTCACTTCATCTCATCTCATCTCATCTCATCTCATCTCTAATCAGCTCATCTCATCTCTAATCAGCTCATCTCATCTCACCTCAACCCACCTCACCTCATCTCATCTCACCTCACCTCATCTCATCTCACCTCACCTCATCTCATCTCATCTCATCTCTAATCAGCTCATCTCATCTCACCTCAACTCACCTCACCTCATCTCATCTCACCTCACCTCATCTCATCTCACCTCACCTCATCTCATCTCACCTCACCTCATCTCATCTCATCTCATCTCATCTCATCTGAACTGACCGTTTCGTTCCCTCCTCAGCCGGATGTTCCCCACATTCCAGGTCCGCCTGTTCGGCCTTGACCCCAACAGCGATTACGTAGTCATGATGGACTTTGTACCCGAGGACGACAAGCGGTATCGATACTCCTTTCACACCTCCAGCTGGGTCGTTGCGGGAAAGGTGAGTTAAAATAGCGCTTTGTTTGTTTAGTTATTTCCTTTTGTCTGTTTGCGTTTTTTACTTTATTTTATGTTTATTTTTTTCATTTTTTGCTTTTGTTCTTCTTTATTAACCCTATCCGTACACCATAGGGTCATTTTGTACCCCGGGGTTGTATTCTTCACATTTTAGAATACTTCTAGTACGAGGACCTCTTCGAAACTATCAGTATTGATTAAAAAATCAGTTTGACAGACTGCTATGCAAAGCGTACGGATCGGATTAATGAATAAATTTCCTCTTTGATGGTTACATTATTTTTGAAATCTAAACGCTAGAAATCTGAAGTAAACGTTTTCGATGCAGATCCTTTTTCAACACATATAGTCTGAAGTGCTTTTTTCTCTTTCCAGCGGTCAATGACAGTTACCGTACCGGTAATAATGCTTTTCTTGGTTAAAATGAAACAAAAGACCTCCCTCCCCCTTGCAAATAAATAAATAAAAATAAATAAATGAATATATAAATCTATAACAAATTTTAAAAAAGTGAATGAATAAATAAATGAATACATGAATGAATAAAGAAATACATCAATAGATGAAAAAGAAAGAAAGAAAAAAGAAAGAAAGAAAGAAAGAAAGAAAGAAAGAACGAAAAAAGGAAAAAGAAAGAAAGAAACAAGAAAAAATACCCCGTGCTGTAATACAACGTCTCATTTAATTGACATAATTTAACCTTTGGTTTTTTTAACCTCTGATTTTCGACCTCTAACCTTTGAGCAGGCTGACCCCCATATGCCAGGCCGGATCCACATGCACCCAGACTCTGCAGCCAGGGGTCACCAGTGGATGAAACAGGTCATCTCTTTTGACAAACTCAAGCTCACTAACAACCCTCAGGACATCAACGGACACGTGAGTATTTTATTCCTCCTGGTCCTCGTCCTCGTTGCCTTGCTCTCTCTCTGTGTCTGTCTGTCTGTCTCTCTTTCTCTCTCTCTCTCTCTCTCTCTCTCTCTCTCTCTC